CATCCCGAGATCATCACAGACGACTTCGAGGACGTGAGAAGTATTTCGGTCTCATTCACTGTCGGGTCTCACCACCCCGAGGCCTCTTTCACCCCGTATTACCTTATCGGACGGCAGGCAAGTTATTATTTCCCTTATGTCGCACGTGTGCCCAACAACAGGACTTTACGTCTCAAGATCGATGTCAACACACCGACCTGGAACGTAGTCTCACGGGTACTTGGGTGACGAGCGAATTACATAAAGCCCTAGACATGGGCTATACCTTAGAGCGAATTTACGAAGTGTGGCATTTTAAAGAAAGCAGTCAAGACTTATTTAAAAACTACATCAATACCTTCCTCAAGATCAAACAGGAAGCGTCCGGATTTCCCCCCGACTGTAAGACCTCAGAACAAGAACAAGATTACATTCGACAAATCTTCGACAAAGAAGGATTCATGATAGATAGGCTCAGTATCGAGAAGAATCCAGTGAAAAGAACCATTGCTAAACTCTTTTTAAATTGTCTGTGGGGAAAATTTGCTCAACGGTTGTTATTACCCAAAGTCAGATACTTGGACGAAGTAGAGGAATTACACCAACTCTTACAAAATTCGACTCTCAACATCAAGGGTGTGCGACTCTTAGTCAATAAAGAAGATTCCAATGAAGACAAGATTCTAGTGAATTTTCAAGACAAAGAGGAATTCGTCGAAGAATGTCCCTTTGGAAACGTGATCCTGGCTTGTTTTACCACCGCCTATGCCCGCTTACATCTCTACGAGACTTTACAACCTTTAGAAGAACGAGGCCTTTATTTCGATACGGACAGTATCATTTACCAACATAGGGAAGGAGCTTTTAATCCTACCTTGGGTCATAGTTTAGGAGAATGGACCGACGAATTAGACGGGGATCACATCACCAAATTCATGTCGGCAGGTCCTAAAAATTATGGTTTCCGGACGGACAAAGGAACCGAGACCCTTAAATGCAAAGGAATCACTCTCAACCATCGTACCTCTCAGTTGGTGTGCCCAGACACTTTAGAAAAAATGCTCAAAGGAGAAATAGAGGAAGTGACAGTCCCTTATCCCGACAAAATCCAGAGGACCCGTGATCATGAGCTCGTGAACAAACCTTCAGAGAAAACGTATAGAATTGTGTATGACAAGAGACAAATTGTAGAGAATTATAACACTTTACCTTATGGTTATTGATATGTTGATATGTTTGTTTGTTTGTTATTACAAATAAAAAATTGAATGTTTTATGTGTTGTTTCTTCTCTATAAAAAAGGGGGGCAATACAAATCAAAAGTTCAGTCATGACTGATAAATTGCTAGATCAACCCATGCGTTATCCCCAGTATGCTCGGCTCTCAAAGAGAGAGAAGCTACTTTTGAGCAGGGATGGCCAGAACCTCTCTTAGGAAAAATACCAGACCTAGCTCGAGCCGGGTTTTACTACAGGGGAGTGAAAGATAAAGCTACCTGTTTTCATTGTGGAATGATTTTTAGTAATTGGGATCCCGAGGACGATCCTTGTGTAGAACATGCTTATTGGAACCCCAATTGTCCTTACATCAATCTGTATAAGGGACGAGGGTGGGTGATGAATGTGTTTATTACGTGTTTAGAACAACAGGGATATAAACCTTTACCTGAGATTAAACCTCTACTGAACCCACAACCAGACGCCCAGGCTCGAGGAAAATGTCACATTTGTTTAGACGAGGAATTACAAATCGTTTTTCTACCTTGTGGACACGTATGTTGCTGTGCTTTGTGTGCTCCTTCCTTTCAGTTTTGCCCCATCTGTCGAGGCGAGATTCATCAGTCCAAACGCCTATTTCTGTGTTAACTATAAATAGGACCCTGAACTCAAATTTGGTGTTTTAATAAAGTTACCTGATCCCATAGGGGACAGCATCCTGCTCTTAGCAGGACCCAGACATCCCAAGTATCGGGAATTCAAATGGAAAATCAAATATGTCTTGCCTCACCAAAGAGAGGGACCCGAAAGCACTTTGTTTCAAATTGAGACCTGTTTGTCCTGGATTCTTATCAAAGAAATCTTGAATACACTCCTCTTTGTTTTTCATCCATTCTCCTTTCTGACTAGAACCTTCAGGTTCTACTATTTTCCAACGATACTCTGAGCTTAAAACTTCCATGATGTGCTCTGTCCCTCATTCAGATTAGAAATGATCTCTAGGATTTTGTAGGTCTCCTTTTTATATAGACTCTCAGGTGTAGTTATTTTTTAACTTGCAGAGGAAAAAAACCAATAGAGAATTTTTAATTAGGAATAATTCAAAAATCTCATTCTTTTATCACTGAGTGTGACAAAAAAAAATCTAGGACTGAGGAGCTTGGTTAACAATAGAAAACACCAAATTTGACTTCAGGGTCCTATTTATAGTTAACACAGAAATAGGCGTTTGGACTGATGAATCTCGCCTCGACAGATGGGGCAAAACTGAAAGGAAGGAGCACACAAAGCACAGCAACATACGTGTCCACAAGGTAGAAAAACGATTTGTAATTCCTCGTCTAAACAAATGTGACATTTTCCTCGAGCCTGGGCGTCTGGTTGTGGGTTCAGTAGAGGTTTAATCTCAGGTAAAGGTTTATATCCCTGTTGTTCTAAACACGTAATAAACACATTCATCACCCACCCTCGTCCCTTATACAGATTGATGTAAGGACAATTGGGGTTCCAATAAGCATGTTCTACACAAGGATCGTCCTCGGGATCCCAATTACTAAAAATCATTCCACAATGAAAACAGGTAGCTTTATCTTTCACTCCCCTGTAGTAAAACCCGGCTCGAGCTAGGTCTGGTATTTTTCCTAAGAGAGGTTCTGGCCATCCCTGCTCAAAAGTAGCTTCTCTCTCTTTGAGAGCCGAGCATACTGGGGATAACGCATGGGTTGATCTAGCAATTTATCAGTCATGACTGAACTTTTGATTTGTATTGCCCCCCTTTTTTATAGAGAAGAAACAACACATAAAACATTCAATTTTTTATTTGTAATAACAAACAAACAAACATATCAACATATTAATAACCATAAGGTAAAGTGTTATAATTCTCTACAATTTGTCTCTTGTCATACACAATTCTATACGTTTTCTCTGAAGGTTTGTTCACGAGCTCATGATCACGGGTCCTCTGGATTTTGTCGGGATAAGGGACTGTCACTTCCTCTATTTCTCCTTTGAGCATTTTTTCTAAAGTGTCTGGGCACACCAACTGAGAGGTACGATGGTTGAGAGTGATTCCTTTGCATTTAAGGGTCTCGGTTCCTTTGTCCGTCCGGAAACCATAATTTTTAGGACCTGCCGACATGAATTTGGTGATGTGATCCCCGTCTAATTCGTCGGTCCATTCTCCTAAACTATGACCCAAGGTAGGATTAAAAGCTCCTTCCCTATGTTGGTAAATGATACTGTCCGTATCGAAATAAAGGCCTCGTTCTTCTAAAGGTTGTAAAGTCTCGTAGAGATGTAAGCGGGCATAGGCGGTGGTAAAACAAGCCAGGATCACGTTTCCAAAGGGACATTCTTCGACGAATTCCTCTTTGTCTTGAAAATTCACTAGAATCTTGTCTTCATTGGAATCTTCTTTATTGACTAAGAGTCGCACACCCTTGATGTTGAGAGTCGAATTTTGTAAGAGTTGGTGTAATTCCTCTACTTCGTCCAAGTATCTGACTTTGGGTAATAACAACCGTTGAGCAAATTTTCCCCACAGACAATTTAAAAAGAGTTTAGCAATGGTTCTTTTCACTGGATTCTTCTCGATACTGAGCCTATCTATCATGAATCCTTCTTTGTCGAAGATTTGTCGAATGTAATCTTGTTCTTGTTCTGAGGTCTTACAGTCGGGGGGAAATCCGGACGCTTCCTGTTTGATCTTGAGGAAGGTATTGATGTAGTTTTTAAATAAGTCTTGACTGCTTTCTTTAAAATGCCACACTTCGTAAATTCGCTCTAAGGTATAGCCCATGTCTAGGGCTTTATGTAATTCGCTCGTCACCCAAGTACCCGTGAGACTACGTTCCCGGTCGGTGTGTTGACATCGATCTTGAGACGTAGAGTCCTGTTGTTGGGCACACGTGCGACATAAGGGAAATAATAACTTGCCTGCCGTCCGATAAGGTAATACGGGGTGAAAGAGGCCTCGGGGTGGTGAGACCCGACAGTGAATGAGACCGAAATAACTTCTCACGTCCTGGAAGTCGTCTGTGATGATCTCGGGATGCCCTAGGGGAAAGGGTCTGTGTTTCAACACGTAAGGGTATAAGGAACAGACGTCCACGTATCTCATGTCCCCTTCTTCACAATATAATTTAGTGGCATTGGTCCGGCCTCCGTACAGACCTTCTCGAGGTTTCAAAGGATCCGGAATGTCCAGATCTCGTACAAATTGTTGTAAACTCTCATCTTGTTGCACTTGCTGATCAAAATCGTGCTCCCAGATACTACACACGGTGTACCCCATGTCCTTTAAATCCGCAGTCCTTCTGAGGGTTTTCTCGTGTAATTGTTGGTAAGTAAATTGGGTCCGGTGAGGATGAGTTTCCGTCTGTAAACTGGGATAGCAAGTGGGGCATCCGTGCCAATAACACCCGTAAAATTCGTAGACGGTACGAGTCGCTTCCTGGTATCCGTCGACGGTATAATTTCCGATGGGGACTTCGCCTCCGTTTCTGGCATGTCGTATGTGACATCCACTCTGATGACTCATCCAGGTGAGCCACCGACAGGCTTTGGCCGAATATTGTCGTGCCGGTTCATACCCGAGGTTCGGAATGATGGCAATGGTGTCTTTAGGCATGAAATTTCGACGGTAGGCTAAGTTAGCAGCACTGGCAAACGTGATGGATTCCTGGAAAGGGTCCACGTTGACCAACTTCTTGAGGGTACTTCTAAAATGTGCACAGCATCGTCTTAAAATGTCGACGTCCGAGATACAATACCCTACAAACTCTTTCTGGAAATCAAACACTTTTCCCCTCTGTTGGTCGTACCATTGGTAAAAAGCTTTTCGTCCGCTGGTAGACATTTCGTCCGGTTTGTAGAAAGCTGCCGGTGGATAAGGTCCTACGTAATTCTGGTTCTGTTCCGTATTAAAAAAGTGGGGGAAATAACCTTTCTTCAATTCGTCGAATCCGAAAGCGGAGGGCATCTTGGCCAAAGGAAACGTTAAGAAACTATACGAGTCGATGAATTTGAGTCCACATATTTCCATGTACAAGATCTTACTCCCGTTCATGATCACGTTAGGTTTCAGGCAAGAGGAATGCACCAGGTGATTCAAAATGAATTGTCCGTCGTAGCCTTTGAAGTTATGGGCGATGACGATGGCCTCGTCGTGTACTAAAGTGGAATTCTTAGTACCTGTAGTGGGTTGTAATAACCAGTCCATGAACTTCTTTAAGGTGTCTGGTCCTTGAAATAGGTGCTGACGGGGTCCCATGTGTTGACAATGAGGACAGGGTTGGTCTATGGGTAAGCCATCGCAATGTTGACAGACGCGATGTGCCACACATAGATTAGGAACGTGAATGCCCGATTCCTGAGTGCATTCGAAATCGAAATAAATGTAAAACTCTAAGGTTTCTTTCCCCTTCTTCTTCTTCTTCTTCTTGGGCTTCTGTTGTACGTAGCACCGGTGATCGGCATCGACGATTTTCTTACAGATCTTACACTGTTTCTGATCTCCGCATTTGTGATGAGGTAATAATTTCTTAGGTATCCAGGACTGACACTTCTCGCATAGCCCCATTAAATTGCAGACAGTAGTGGTGGTTTTCTTACTATGAGGTCTTAAATGATTTTCGTAGCAGGTCCTGTTCTTAAACATTCCTTGGCATTCCCGACATTTAATCTCGATCCCTTCATCGGGACATTTAGGGTGTGGTCCTAAACAATAGGGACAGCGATGAGGACACTTGGACCGATGGTCTGTGACATGACTGTACCCCACGTCGCAATGATCACAGTAATAGGGGTTCCCAGTCACTCCCGGCATCGATATGATGGCATCGTAATGACGGTTGTCTAACAAAATGTTCAAACAAGTTCCATCTCCCCAGCCTTTGAAGATGCGCTCTAAACAGAGTTTAGTGGAAGTAGATTTGAATTGAAATATTTTCAGACGATACTGAGGAGCTAATACCTGTTGTAATTTCGGCCACTCTAGGGCTCCACAAGCTTGAGTGATATCACATCCGGCCTGTTCCATGAGGGCTATGGCTTCTCGTTTCTGGTCATTGGCTCTTACATCTCCTAATCTCATGCGTTTCCATTGTTTTTCCCATTCCGGGTCTGGATGTTCGGGTTTTTGACTGTGTAATCGAGTGACGACGATGGCTCTAGCTAAACAAAATTTATCCCAGGGATTGACGATCCGAACGATGGATTGTTTATTGTTCTAGAAAGTTTCTTTATCCACTTGTAAATGTTTGTTTCTGTTTCCACCACTCCCCTGGGGATTCTCGATATGAAGCAGTTGGAATTCCGTGGAGCCGTCGCCCAGTTTGAACTCCTTTTTGGATTGTTGCACACGTTGTATTTCTTTTAAAATGACGTCTTCGTTTAAATCTTTACATTGCGTAAACTGGTACGAAATGTCTGATTCCAGAGAATGGTGATGAAGGTTCAGGCGGAGGTAATCGTTAGGATTACACTGCATTTCAGATTTGAAGTCTTGTAACATGTTTCTGAATAATCGCCGAAGGAAAGATGTGTTTTCTTCTTCTTCTGGAAATTCATCGAAATGAACGATATATTCATTTTCATGCGCTTTAAATTTTGGAGAGGTCCTTTCTTGAGTTAGTCTCATATGATAATACTCAGAAATGGGTTTAGGTGGTAAATCTATTTCTCTCTCGGTACTTTTTCGTTTCAATATTCGTTGAGCCTGTAACTGTTTTTCTCTAGTAGAATCCATGACCCCAATAGGAGCTGGCTCTGACTGTAGAATGAGCCGAAAGTCGGAGAAAACCTGTATTTATACAGTGGATGACGTCACAATGCATAGGTAAGTCTATGGTATTTTTGCACACGGCCCCCCTTACAGATGATGCAACAGCTATAAAAAGATGATGCAACAGCTATAAAAAGATGATGCAACAAGTATAATAAGATGATGCAACAGATATAAAAAGATGATGCAACAGGTATAAAAAAGATGATGCAACAGTAAAGGTATATAAAGCGGAGATGAACATGAAGGATCATTCTGTGTGAGTACTTGGAATTGAACACAGGTAAAAAAAAAATGGAGCAGACAAAAAATATGACAGAGGAAACGGAGTATTGTTGGTCTATTAACGGAGAACATTTTGGAAAATGGATGAAAACTAAAGAAGAAGCCATCCAGAATTTTTATGAACGCAACAGAAATTATTTAAAATGGCCACCGAATTTAAAGTACAAAAAATTTTGGTTGGTAAAGAGTGGAATTGGATCCTGAAGATTATGAAAAAAATCATGACACCAGAGAGGAAAAATACTGTCTGAAGGAGAGAAAAAATGGATATTACGGTTATCAAAAATACCAATTGGAGATCATGAGTGGACCTTATTGTGGGGAGAAGAGTTCCTGGAAAATTCAACTTGGATTGTGTTTTCATCAATTGATAGAAAAGAGGTTTCGAGAAGAAAAGAAGCTTATAGGAATTTTTACAGATAGGCCTATTTATAAGGTGTATGTATATTGTCGCATCCCTTTATCGCCTGAAGAAAAACAATCTCAAGAAAAAGGAGAGGTAAAACAAGAGGAAACTATCCCTGATGACTGATAAGGGACAGAAGAAAAAGAAAATGTAATTGGATGTATGTATTTTTTCATTGTGAATAAAAATTGAAAAATCAAAATCTGTGTTATTTGTTATTGTTTTGAGGAAATCCAGTTTGAAAGATGATGCAACAGGTATAATAAGATGATGCAACAGGTATAAAAAAGATGATGCAACAGATATAAAAAGATGATGCAACAGGTATAAAAAGATGATGCAACAGATATAAAAAGATGATGCAACAGGTCGTAGTAGCAGCGTACCGATGTAAACACAGTGTAAACACACCCCGTATATAGTGGGGCTATATGTAATGAATTGACCAGGCTATCCCCACAGACCCCCCTAATCTGCACTCTCTTGACCCACCTATCCCCCACAGGGGCTGCACTCCCTTGACCCCCTATTTCCCCCACAGGGGCTGCACTCTGTTGACCCCCCTATCCCCCCAGCCCCAAAAAAGTGCACTCCATTGACCCACCCAGAGGCTCAGCCAATCAGAATCCTGTATTGTTGACCTCATTTGCATAAAAAGTGCACTCGCAACGGCAACTGTATTTGGAATAAATCAAAGGGCTTTGTAACCGTTAAACTAAAGTCTGAAGACCACTATCTGGCCATCTGCGGGTAACCAAAACCAGGCCGGACCGTCAGATCCCCCCCCCCCCCCCCCCCCCCTGTAAAAACTGCTGCTACAATTGCTGGATGAAAAAATGAGCGTAAAAGTGCAAACATTGTTCGCAAGAGACTGAAATGAGATGGTATTCCTCCACGCTATCCGTACATTGGAAACCCACTAGCATTGAGACGTCGCACCGTACATATTGTTATGCCCCTTGAATTTGGGGGCGATGAAAATGACATCAACTTGACTTTTCAATTTGCAACAAAGGACTATAAAGTTGAATGGCCTTGATTGAAAATTTATATCCTTTAATTAGAGTTCTGTTTTTTTGTGAATCGAGGTAAATAACATTTCTAAAGACATGATACAATAGATTTATCAAACTTTAATTAATTCTCAATCTGTATTTTTTCTATTTATTCACTGTTTTAAGGAAAAAGGTAGTGTTTTTTTAAATGTCACAATTAAAATATTTTGAATAAACTGATAAATACAACAAACCCAAGGTTACAAAACCATACTCATATATTGTAAGAATTATAACTATGTTAATTCCCATTTCGATAGGCCAAGGGTCCTAAGTATCTAAATATAGGCTATCATGTGTACGGATGTTTGACCAATGACGTTGAATAACATGGACCGAATAAAGTTGAAGTTCAGACCTATTTTTAGATTAGCTCATTTTGTTTAAATAATATTTCACTAAGTACGCTTTTCTTCATTCAAAATATGCTAATGAAGTTGGTTATTATTACCATATTTTTATATCTTGTACCATGTGTGTTTAAAGTATGGACGGGAGACAAATTGATCTGTGTCAATCCAATGAAATATTTGCCATCGAGCAATATCAATGTTAATAAGATAATCCATGTTAATTCTTTGACTGAAACTTTACTTTATATTAAAAACTAGAAATTATGATAAAATATTTCATAATACAGAAAAATAAATCTTGATACTTTCATCACCCACCTTTCACTTTCAATGATGCATAGAAAAGGGGAGATAACCCGTAAACCTAGTGACTAAGTACTGACACTGTATGGATGAATAAATAAATTCCGGCTTATCTCATTTATTCGTTTTTTCACAAAAAGGAGGTGAATGATGACATATAATTAAATGATAGAGCTTTGATAACGACGCGTTTTGTGAGATGAACTCAAATATGCGGTAATATATTATAATATCAAAACATAAACATATTTATTAAGAATTATCAGTATAATATACGTAAACCATAAATTTTCTTGATTTTCCAACCCTGATTCTGTGTCCCTACATTTGCATTTTGTTATTCTCAGTCAGAAATTCAATAGCATTCTAAAATATTGCATGGTGTGAAGGGTCCTCCTCCACCAATTTTATATTGAACAGTGTATATAAATTTAAAACTTTTGAAATTTACAAAATCTGAAGAGGAAAATGTTTGTGTTCAATCCTCCCTCGATTCTTGATACAACTTCACACCATCCTAACAAAGAAGTGTAGATCAAGTTGCCTTGTAAAGTTCTCGTAGTGTTCAAGAAAATGTTGTTGTTAAGAGAAGTGTTGACTAGATCGAAGTCAAGAATGGCTCAAGCCTCTTGGTACGAAAGCCTGTAAGTGAATCATGAAGAATCTGCAGGCACACTTAGATTGCATAATTATACAACTTTTCTCACCAAAATATGCACACAATATGAACCCAGATGATAAAGTTTGAGAATTTTCTTGCTAATAGAATGACCTTTCTACCCTAAAAGAAAAAAAAATATACGCGGTCACGAAATAAAGAGCCACATGTCTTAAATATTAGATATTTTTTATATCCCCTCCCAGCTCCCTGCTTGAAAAGCGGGAGGATATAAAGTAATCGGTGTGTCTGTCCGTCCGTATTTTACGCTTTGGGATACCCATCTTTTATCCACAACACCTCTCATACCACTGAATGAAATTTGATGCAACTTTCACAGACGCTTTAGTACATATTGCCATTGTGCACCTCCTCTTTTACTTCTTATCGAACACATATTTTGGGTTTCAAAACATGGAC